CTTTTTTTTTTGTATTGTCTTTGGTTTTGGAATGAATAATACTAGTCTCATAAAAAGAGTTGGGAAATGTTCCCTTCTCTTCTATTTTCTGGAAGATTTATGTATAGTTGATGTTATTTCTTCTTTAAATGTTTGTGTTATTTTTCTCTGGTTGCTTTCAAATTTTTTCTTTGTGATAACTTTCTTTTTCTATTGTTTTCATCAGTTTGATTATTTTATCTCTGGTCATGGATTCTTTTGTGTTTATCCTATTTGAGATTCATTAAGCTCTTTCAATATGTAAGTTTATGTCTTTTTCCAAATTCAGGAAGTTTTTGGCCATTATCTTTTGAAATACTTTTCTTGATACTTAACTCTTTCTCCTTGCCTGGGGCTCTGATGACTTCTGTCTTTCTATTTGTTTTAAGAGTGTTTGCCCTTATTTTATGGAGCATTTTTGTAATAGCTTTTAAAATGTCTTTTTCCAGATAATTCCAATACCTGTGTCATCTTGGCATTGGTTTCTGTTGATTTTATTTTTCTTATGTAAGTTGAAGTCTCCCTGGTTTTTCATATGCCAAATAATTTAAGATTATACCCTGAACATTTGAATATTATGAGACTTTGAATTTTGTTAAATTCTATGGAGAATGTTAATTTTTTTTTTTTAAAGCAGGCAATTTGCCCTGCTGTATTTAGACTGTGAGTTTTGACTAGCATTCTTTGGTGTGATTTCGAAGACTTTGTAGTGTTATTTCATGTGTGTACCACCCAGAGGCAGTCTGTGACTTGGGTGATGGTCTGTTTCTTAGAAGTACTTACTGCCACTGTGGTGGTAGTTCAAACTCTGGTCTTCTTTCTCAGTTTACCTGCTGGTACTTAATTTTCAGAGCCCTCAAATACTCCATGCATTCTGTCCAGGTTTGGTAGCATTCAGTGGGAGAAAGAGGATGGAATGTGCTTACTCCATCTACCCAGGATTAAATTCTCATGCATGCTTTAGTTTTTGAATTCTTTTCACTCTTATTTGTTTAAATATTTTCAGTAACACTGTCTACTTCCATTCTCTCTAGTTTCTGATTTTATATCACTAAGTAGATGTGTGTTGGATCTCCTAATCAAAACACTGTTCATGTTTTCCATTTTTTATCATTCTTACCAGATTCTCAGTTAATATCCTCAGGTCTCATTCCCAGATTTTTTTATTCATTAATTTTGAGCTCTATCTGCTGCTTTTTATAGCCAATGTTTAAAAAATATTTTTAAAAATATACTTTTATTTCTAGAAATTCTATTTGGTTTCCTTTGAAAAATGCCTAATTTTTCCTCATACTTCTCTGTTCTTTTATTACTTTTTCCTGTTCCTTAAAAAAGCTCCAATAACTTAAAAATACATTTTTTATACTTTTTGAACATGTTTTTCTGACATTCTGAGTTCATGAGATACTAATTCTCTTGTTCTGTGCGTGTGTCTCCTGACTGTTTTTCATGGTATTTTATTTCAATGCAATGTATTACTGTTACTGTTATTATTATTATTTCATTGTGATCCTATCTTCATCAGATTTTTTCCTCTTATGTACCAGAAGTTGTGGAAGCTCCCTTAACAGAAGTTTTATGTTTGCTTTTCAGAAGACTCTAGGGGTTTTATTCTAATTTCTGATTTCAGAACTTCTTACACCAATGGGGAGTGTGATTGTGGATCATGTACTTGCAAGCAGCAAGGCTTGAGAGCTGACATTTATTATAGGTGACTTTGTTTTCCACCTTTGGTTCTGTGCAGCTGATAGTCATTTTTGTCAATTCATAGGCCCATGTGCTAAAGTTTATACACATATAAATATTTATATTTACATGTCTTATATAGTATAATCCTTCAAAGCTCCCTATTTTTATTGGAGGGGTCAGTAACATCATCACCTCTTCTGGCTTTGGCCATAATTCATTGTTTCCAGTTCTTGCATAGATGTTAAAATCTTACTGCATTATCTTAAGGCCTGTACTGTGTGTCTGAAATCCTGTGTCCTACCCTCTCCCATTTATTACATGAGCTACTCCCTTCTCTGCCAATTCTCAGCTCTCTGTTTTTCCCTAGCATCTGGGAGTTTTCTTTCTTTCTTTTTTTATTTAAAGCTCAACTATGAATAAAGTAATCTTGAACACTGTATTTAGCTTTGAGATGTATCTGTGATAGAAGGGGATTCTCTCAGGGTCATTAGAGTCTACCACTTTGACTAAACTTTAACTATGTGGTTATTATTATATTAGTTTTCTGTGAATGCTGAAATAAATTACCACAAATTTGGTGGATTAAAACAGCACAAATTTATTATCTTACAGTTCTGTAGTTCAGAAGTCTAAAATAGATGTCACTGGGCAGAGTTGTGTTCTGTGTGTGTGTGTGTGTGTGTGTGTGTGTGTGTGTTGGGGGAGAGGGTATTATTATGCCTATCAAAATAATTGCAAACAAAAATTTTAAGACTGTCTAAAGGATATCTTGATTTAGTATATAAGACAAAACACAACATAAAGAGGTGAGGATAAAGGGACCAATATGGTGGTAAGCTTTCTATAGTACAATTCAAGTGGTAACATATAGACTTTAGAGTAGATAGTATAGAGTATGTGTACTGTATTCTCTACAACAGCAATTTAAAAAGCTATGCAGAATGATATAGTTATAAGACATACAGATAAAATGGAATATTTAAAATACTGGCATTTAATGAGTAAAGACCAGGGATGCTGTTAAGCATCCTTCAAAGCACAGGACAATCCTAACAAAGAACTGCCCAACCTTAAAATGTCAGTAGCTCTGAGCTTGAGAACTCTTGCCCAGGTTGAGAACCTCTGCCTTAACTAATAAGATGACATAGTTAGTATGGTTTTTCTAAAGCTTTGCATTTTATAGAAACAATTCTCTCTGTACTCATATTTTAATGGTTTCCATGAATTTAATTAGGTCACATAATTACCATAGCAGGTTCAACTGGAGTTAGTTTTGGAGGGAACATAAGTGCATGTGACAAGGTTACTAACCACCAGCTTTCAGCATGTCGTAGGTGAGAGTCAGAGAGGTTGAGAAGTACTCCTGATTTTATGATTTGGTTGGGTACAAGCAGGTTAGGAGAACGTCTGCATGTAAATATATGTGTGTGTATGTATATTTATTTTTTCCTCATTATATCTTTCAATTTTTAATGTAACTTTTGTAGATACTTATTACAATTCATTATTTTGGATGTATTGCTCTAGAAGGATCTAATTTCCTAATGAATAATTTCCTTTGAATGAATTCAAGGCAAGTATATTAATTTTATTTTGTATAGTTTTGCAAATTTAGGACATTTCATAAAACAATGCTTCATCACACAGAAGTACCAGACTATTTCTCAAAATTTACAAATTTACAAATAGAATCAAATGGAAAACTTGATAAGGAGATAATTAAAATTAACTTCGGAAAAATCTTCCAGATTCTGATTTTTTTTCTCTTAAAAAGTCCAAGACAGAACTAAACATGTTCCCCTCATCCCATTATAGTATAATACAGTACATATTGCTCTGCTGCCACCTCTGACTCTGCCCGGTAGGTATTTTGGTAACTGGCTGCCTAGGAGCCTTTTGAAGACTTCAGAATCTATTGTTTTGATGGAAAGTTAAGAAACTCAATTAACTGGTCTTTGATCGCTTTTGAAACTTTTTCAATATGAGAGTTTAATGAGAGTTTCACATTTTACCTCAAAATTTTAGGTCTATATTGAAAAATATTATATACCATTAACCTTGAGTCTGCTTTTTTGCCTGCTGAAAATTAGATCTCAGATGACCTCCTTTACAGTCCCGACCCGTATGGTGAAGTGTGGGTAGCACCTGCATGAGTGTGGCCAACAGTGGGGTGGCTCTTCCCTCTTGTCCAGGCTTCCTTGTCTTCTTCTGGTCATTTCTTCACTCCTGGACCCCATTCCCCATGTGTGACATCTATTCTTTTCTATCTTATCTACCTTATCTATCCTTCCTATCTATCTATCTATCTATCTATCTATCTATCTATCTATCTATCTATCTATCTATCTAATATCTATTTATCTATTTATTTATCTATCTTATCTATCTAATGTCTATCTTTCTTCCTGTCTATCTGCCTATCTGTCTGCCTGCCTATCTATCTATCGATCTATCGATCTATGTATCATCTATCTAATCACCATTTACCTCTTCTTTTCCCTTTGGGCAGCTACCCTGGTCCTGCTGCGCGCTGGTCCTGGAGAATCCGAGCCAGGTCTGGGCGCTGTGTTTGGCAGGGGGCGCGCGAGGTCCCGGAGCTGTCCAGCAGTTCCTGGCTAAGTTCTCTCCTGCGCTCTCAGCGCGAGGGAAGCTCTCCAGCGCCCCGCCCCGGTCAGGGAACCTCTCCCCTAGTGCTCCCGGGGCTTCCCAGGCTTGTCGCCCATCTCCGCCAGTTTCTACCTACTTCGTCCAGCCCCACCTCAGCAGTCTAGCTTGAGTCAGTAGCTTTCCTCCGGAAATCCCCGAGAGGGAGTCCCCTCTCCAGTCCCCGGGGCTGCACGGTTGGACCCGGGCTTCCCTTCTTTGCCTAAAAGGCGGGCGGCGAGAGCGTCTCCTTTTAGCCTCGCCTTCTGCGTTTGGGTGGTCCTTTCTCTCTCTCCGTCTGTCTTTCTAGACACGCGCCCTAAATCGAGGGGTGAGGGCAAGGACTGCCCATCAACTTAGCACCCTTAAAAAAGATCTTTGGATCCCAAAGGAGGTTGGCGTTGCCGGGGTCAGCCAGAGGGAGGAGGAGGGCGGAGGCTGCAGCGGCTCCGGGGATCGCTGGACGGGGTTTGGAGACCGAGGAGCCCGTGCGGGAGAGGGACGCGGGGCGCCGGGCCTCGCCCTCGGGCTCCCTCCCTTCCCCTCCTCTCCCCGCCTCTCGGCCCGCCCCTCCCTCTCCGAGGAGCCTTCTCTCCTCCGCGCGTCTCCGGGCGCTCTCTCCATTGTCTCTTCCTTTACAACAGGTTCGGGCGGCGGGGAAGACGGGCGGGTGCGGGGCCGCCCCAGCCCCGGCTTCCTTGGGGAAGCGCTCTTCCTCCGGGTGTGCGTGCCTTCGGCTGCTTTGATTCGGCTCCGGAGCTAATTCCCCGGCGGAGCAGCCCCCGGCGAGTCCGACCCCTCCCTCCGGGCCCCCTCCCAGCCCGTGCCCCGCCGCCTGGGCTCTGCGTGTGGGAATGATGTGCGCATTGGTGGGTCTAAGTTCTTTCTCATGCCTCAGGGTCCTCCCTTTTTCTTCTTAGGCAACCAAATCGTACTAATCTTACTAATCGGTAAATCAGAGGCAGCAGGAGAGACAAACGCTGTTTTCCCGCTTGATTCCAAGAACCTCTTTGATTTTTATTTTTATTTTTATTTTTAAAGAGGTAGACGATGGACTGAGCAGATCCACACCATGGAGTCTCGGGTCTTACTGAGAACATTCTGTTTGATCTTCGGTCTGGGAGCAGGTGAGTGGCCCTAGAGCTGGGGCGGGGGAAGTGGTGGCCCCCGCCTCGGGGCAGACCCGGCTGCCTGGGGATGCCTCGCTTTTCCTCCACCAGAAGTAGGTCTGGAGTGGGAAGCCTGGAGTAGGGCGCGGATTTGGATTTGGATTTTTTCTGTGCTTGTCTTGGAGACCGCAGGGCGGGTCACACCCCTAGTCCGGGGTCTGAGGGCGGAGGGGAACTTTGCACGGAGAGGGGTTTAAAGTAGGTCACGGAAATGGGACTGGGTGCTCCGCTATTTAAAGCTTGGCTGCTGATCTCAGGTAAGACTCTCGGCGGCGGAGGGAGTCGCCTCTCGTCGACAGTTTCCAATATTGTCTCTTAAGACGCCGTTCTTTGCTGCCCTGGAGGAAGAGGCTTGTATTTTGATGGAGCTTCTTCTTTCTTTCCTCCTCCCTCCCCCACTCCTTCCAGTTTGGGGGCTAGGTGTGGACCCCTCCCTGCAGATTGACGTCTTAACAGAGTTAGAACTTGGGGAGTCCACGACCGGAGTGCGCCAGGTCCCGGGGCTGCATAATGGGACGAAAGCCTTTCTCTTTCAAGGTATGAGAAGCGTGCTCAGTCCCCAGTGTGATTTCAGTTCGAATAACCCCAGGAGGAGCTGGCCTCGCCGCTCCTCCTAACTTCAGTATTGCCTCATGCGTGACAATATCTGAGCTGAGATATGAAGGGGTCACACACACCTCCTGTCTCTTTTTCAGTGGCTTGGTTTCTCTTGCTACCCGCCCCCTCTTCTTTCTTACTTTGTACTCTTGCCAGTTCTAATGGATAGTCCCTTAATTACTGTACAGAAACTCCGGTGGCAGATGGTTGATTTTGGAGTCTAGGGAACAATGAATTATAACACAAACGCCTCGTTTGGGTGAAATTGATTTAGGTTGGAAATAGGGTAGCTTAATCTTAGTTAAGATGCTGCTCTCTGAAAGTTTCAGATACAATGGTGCCCAACTGGGGAAGAATTTCTTCATGTGGGTAGCTTTGTGGGAAAATTAGTATCTCTCAATAGTTTTATCTGCTGTATATCACAAACACGATCTTTGAGACAAGATTCCTCGTTGAAAGATCATGATTCTTCCTTCTCTATCAATGACAAGAGAAAGAAAATAATATTCTCTTAAAAATTATTTTGAAAGTGTTTAAAATAGGTGTTAATTCAAAAGTATACCTGGTGTCACCATTAATCGTGTACTTAGGATTTTAAAACTTTGTTTTGAAGTCAGTGGACATTGAGTATGCACAAATGTCTACATTTTAAATTATATTTAAATATGTTTTATAGTCAGAAGCAAATTCGAACGCATCAAGCCTTCAGCTTTGATTTACCAAAGCTTTTGAAAATTGCTTGGTTTGTGGGAAGATGCTGTGATATGAGCTTCTAAAAGGTAGCTAAACACACATAGACTAGTTTCACATATGGTGAAGCACAGATGAAGGCAAACGAGAAGTGGGCTTTGGTTTGACATCTCTGATGGGCTGACTAAAGCATCTTCTCCCCATCCCACCCGTATTTTTCTTTGGTGATTTCGGTGCTGTGGCTTAAAAAAAAAAAGTGCAACTGATAATTACTAAAGAGTTGAATATGCAAAATAAAACCACTTCAGCAAATTTGCCACCAAGAAATAGGCATAAAATAAAACTTGAGTTTCTGTAATGGTGTTGTTGCATGATATAGCCAGTATGTGTCACCATGGACAGTAACACCAAAGCTTACAGTTGGAAAAGGAGGAAATTGACATGTGTTGCATTTATTTAAAACAAGTTTACTCTTACAATAAATTAAACACAATTTTCTATTTTAATTATTGTGAGCCCACTAAATGTTTTTATTGTGACAAATATTTATGATAATACTTTATTTACTTAAGGTTTTTTTTTCTTTTGGAGGGGTATGTGTGTTGGGTTGGTGGGTGTGACTTGGATATTGAATCCTTTAAAAACAATGACCAAATCTAATAAAGGAAATAAGGCTAGACTGTCCACAAAATTCACATAGTGGAATAAAAGTGTCGTTAGGGTTAAGCTTCTGGATTTTTTTTTTCTTCTTCTTTTTTAATCTCTGATTTTTCAATTCCTGTGACCTGGAAACAGAATTATTTCAGGATGGACAATTTGAGTAACTGGAAAGCTTTACAGAAGTTAAAGCTCCTGATAAATGGCATTGAAATGCCCTTAAAATTTCCAAAGTTTCTTTAAATTGTGTTGCTGTTCTTTTTGGCTTCTTCTGAAGAGTGTCTGAGCTGTCACAAATAGAAGTCTTCAGGACTGTGCATTTTATGTTCCAATGTTTAGACAATTAGACAATTTCTAGGAAGTAATCTCAAGGCACAATATCTTTTCTCAGTTAATTTTTTTAAAAGAAATGTTTAGTATTCATTTTTATTTAAATTGCTAGTTCTTGAAGGTAGGCACTGTGTTGCAAATAAATTATCCATAGTAACTGCATATCAGTGCACATTGATAAATTGTTGTTGTTTCCTTGTTGGTATCAAGCCCAATCTTGGGACATAATAAATGTCTAACAAATATAGTTTATGAGATTTAAGGATGTAAAGTTTTATTTCCTGCCAAATTATGAGCCGTATTTCATATAGCCAATCAACCAGCAAGTATTTGCTGCCTGCTGTGTTCTCAGTAGGCATATAATACTGATGTATTTATTATGCTCTAATGGTGTCTCTTATTCTAAGGTTTAGATTATCAAATTGACAACAGGTGGACCTTTGACCCTGCTTAATCTGCATTACCTTGTAAGGGTCTTTGCTATTAGGATGTGGAAACTGTTGTTAAGAAGTCAGTTCTGACTCCTACTGCTTCCCTGGGATTCCATGGGTTTTAGAGAGACAAAAGCTTTCAGCCTCTGAAGATTTTATGGATTCGATTTATAGTGAATTGAAGGTGCTGCAGGTATTTTGTATAGTCTGTAAAATGTCATAGCAGGAATAGTAACACATTATAAAACCTGTGAGATGCTCTCAGATTTCATATAAACCTATCCGATGAGTTGCTTTGTGCTGTCAGATATGTTCTAAACAGATGGAAGGGATTTTTGAACCATCAAATATCTCCTACAGTAATATAATTATCTTCTTTTGTGTCTTATCTTTAAATTAAAGAAACCTCAACATATAATTTCCCAGTGATTTTTGCTCATTTAGTGCTGCTTCTCCTTTTGGCTACTTCATTCTTCTCTTTAGTAGTTTTTAAGATGCTTGCAATTCAGTACTTTTTGAAACTAAATTTTTTTTGTAAATTATTGTGTAATAATTATGTAATATTTATTAAATATATATGATAAAAAATAGAAATATATTTCAAAGTCATACCTAATCATACATGAATATCACTGAAATTGTTTTGTTGTTGAAATTTGGTTTATAGCTTCTTTGGAAATTGAAGTAATAAGATACTAAATTAGACTATCCCTTGACACTTGTAACTTTTGGTCTATGCCAATTATAATAATTTTCAAGAGAAAAAAGTGACCAGGCAACAGTTTGGAATCTGTATCAAGATCTTCCAAGTATTTCTAGCTATAAGCTGACTGATAGCCACAAAAATATACTTATGTTTTTAAAAAAATAGAGGACAGAATTCTGACAATCAAAAGGAACCTATGAAAGGTTGTAAAGTTTTGAAATGTTAAGGACTAGTGCAATTAAAAACAGAATTCTACCAACTTGGTTTAAAATCTAGGGGATATTCTTCAAGATGATGATCACAATAATGTTCTTTCCTCTTTGAACATGAGAGCCCAAGAATGAGAGTACACAGAAGCATTGTTCTAGGACTTTCTAGCAGCCGTTAGCAGGATTTTTAGATCTTTGGTTTTAACACTTTTTCTGGCCAGGCTCCGAAGGTATATACTTTCATCTGTTGGCTTAATAAGCTTTTGTCTAAAGTATTCACAGATTTTATAATGTCATTTATCCCCATAAGAGAAGTAGATAAAATCAAAGCATATTTTCTTTCTGAGTTGGTACTTTGAAAATAAATTTAGTAATTGTTTTTTGAAGAACTTTAAGATTTGAAAGGGGAAAAAAATCTTCACAAGTCTACCCTTATTCCAGTATTTGAAAACAGGAATGCAATTGGGCATTTGGTGGTGGGACATTGACTCAACAAGACAGAGGAAACTGCATTAAGGGATATTAGGTGGCAGTGAGTGTTTGTCTTCAGTATGATGGTCACTGAGGACTTACAGACAATGGTCATTGATGCTCCATTAGAATAGAACAGCACAATGACTAAGAGATGGGCTTAGAGACCAGATAGACCCAAGTGGAATTTCATTAGTTGTGTGACTGTGGTGAAGTTACTTAATTTCCATGAGCTTCAGTACCCTTGATTATAAAATTAATGTTGTTATAAAGAATTTCTTTTGTGCAGTTTATTCTCCTAGGTGTTAGGCAAATAGCAAATTGAAGAAGTTAGAACTTTGCTTTCATAGTGCCTGAAAAATCGTCATTAAACAATTCCATGGATAATAATGTAATCACTATTAAGATAAATGATATGAAGAACTAAGGGTGCGCTGAGAATCTATATTCTTGTTTAGGGAGTCACAGGATCAGTGAAATTGTCTTTGGTGAAGGGTCATTTAAGTGGATAGCTGAAGGGTAAATAAGAGTAGTCTGGAGAAGAGGAGGTGTGAGGATTTAGAAAGGAAGAGTGACACCAGCAAAAGAAATGGCATGAGAAAAAGGTCTTGGGCCTGGAATGAGCACGGTGCCTTTGAGCAAAATGGAAGACATCCAGCATAGTGGAAATATGAGCGTTATGGCAGGCAATGAAACACATGAAGAAAGCATGGATCAGGTTACACGGTAGACCATGTTTACACAGAAGAGCTGAACATTTATCATTTTATCAGATCTATTGTGGCGGGTAGAATAAAAGTCCTTCAAAGATGTTCACGTCCTAATCCTAGGAAGCTGAGAGTATGTTAAGTTACATGTCGAGGAGGAATTAAAGTTGCAAGTCAGCTGACCTTAAGATAAGGAACCTATCTTGGATCATCTAGGTAGGCATCATGTACTCACAAAGGTCCTTTAAATCTGGAAGAGGGAGGTAGGAGAGTCAGTGTCAGGGTGATGCGAAGAGAGAATGACTAGATCTGCCATTGCTGGCTTGGAAGGTTAAAAATGGACCACGAGCAAAGGACTGTGGGCAGTCTCCAGGATTTGGAGAAGTAAAACAGATTTTTGCTTACTGTGTCCAGAAGGAACACAGCAGAGCTGACACCTTGATTTTAGCCTAGTGATATTCAGTTTGGACTTCTGATCTCCAGAAACATGAGATAATAAATTTGTGTTGTTAAGTCACTAAGTTTGCAGTGATTTGTTATAGCAGCAATAGGAAACTAATACAGATTTTGATACATGGAACTAGGAGACTCCTGTAAGGAATGCCTAAAAATGTAGAAGGGGCTTTGAAATTGGGCAATGGCATAAGCTAGAAGAATTTTGAGGTTCATGATAGAAAAAGGCTAGAATGTCCTGAATAGAATGTTAGTAGAAGTATGAATGTTGATGATTCTACTTGTG